GTGGATTTTAACATCCTCTGTGGCAGAAAGGTAAAAGTGTGCCAGTGACAAAGATGGCTGCCATGGCAGCAAGAAAAATGTTTTGCAGACACTGCTGTCTTACATGGCAGCCAATGTGCTACATGAGCTCACACCCTCCTCACATTCCCAATTTCAAAAACTGAACTCTACAACTATTGAATAAAGTAAATAATAATGACAAATAAGGAAATGCAGTATATTTGTTGTGGGTTATTTAATGATGCTTTCAGTAGCTAATCTATAGTGTCAAATGAATGTTGACAGATGAAAGAAGTGGAAAGCATTGGAAGGAAGCAGCAGCTATGGCCCAACTTAGGTTCTAGCTTAACATGTCTGGAGGGACCAAAGAAAACCACTAAAAACTCCTGCGCATGAATGCAAGTCACAAGCACTGCTGCTGTGCCAGTCCATCCAGTGTTCTCACCTTTCTAATGTTGTAGTATTATAGCAGTATATGAGCCATTTTAGCACTCAGAGACAGCAGAAATTACTTTTATTTTCTTGGTTTTATTGTCATTTTCAGTGTTCACTAAATAACTAGGAAGGATATCAAGAACATGTGTATTGACAATTGTAGCACCTTTTACATTAGCTGTGAAAATGAACAAACTTGCTGACAAAATCAGCAGATAGGTAAACTTATAATCACACAGATACTGTACCTTATAGTTGATAACAACTTCGTTTCTGGCTGCCATATAATTGGCAATGTTGTGGTCCACAATGAGCATGAGCAAACTGTTCAGCAGTGTGAAGTCAATGTTTTCACACATCTTTTCAAACTTGGACTCAAGAAGCACACTGCATTCACCTCCCTTTACATCCCAGACATCTTGCAGATTATTGATACCTAAATCATGAATACAAGCATTCTGTCATCTTGTAAAAGGTTAAACTGGTAAAATGAAAAAAATATGTAAACTGGATAACTGTGGAGAAAACTCAAAGTTCCAAAGCCCATAGTTTCTGCATCAAATAAATGTCTGAAAACTGTTTTCCATCTGTTTTACTACCAGCTACAAATTAAACTGTGCAAAGAGGAGGGGGGAGGGGAGGTATGGGAAAACATGAATGTAAGACCTATAGTCAAACAATGGTTTTACTCCACCTCTTACCACATGACAAGAGTCATTCACGTTTCAGCCACAAGTAATCATATACTGGTTGACATACCAACCTGTCATTTGAAATTTGCTGAATCATGCAAGCATACGACATCATTCAGCATAATGTATGGAAGTAATTTGGATCAAGTGTGTTTGTGGTTGCAGAGTTTTGTGTAAATAAAAACACAGAAGATAAATTATCAGAACAGAAAGTGAACAGGCTTCAGGCAGTCTGTCGTCCAGTACGGTGATGGCAAAATAACTTCATGGAGCTAAGCCCTTCTTGAGAAGCCACAATTGTGCAGCTACTTAAGAACTTCCAAGCAATTTATGGAACCTGAAGATACCTTCCTATGTTCACAAGAGCGCTCAGCTGGTCCCTATTATAACTGATTACTCCTCCCAGTAACATATTTCGCCAGAATTATGTATACAATTATCTACACAGTAATTATCATAGTTTTGTAAGGTTTAATTAATTTCTGAATTTGTGTAATGAATTAAATTATTACATGTTATATTGTGCATTAGACTACACACTCAAGAGAGGGTTGCGTGATATGGCGTAACTTGTGGAGTTTAATAATTTTGGGGTTCCCCTTTGTTCGGGGATGTATGATGCAAGCTTCAGAAGTAGTTAAATTTGGACTTTACTGGAGGTTAACCACCAATCAGGATTAATGGTTACTGAGTGTGACATCATGCTGGTAGTTGCTTGTCATGTGCAATCCTTTGTTTCAGACAGACGCGTCTAGGCTTTGAAATGAGTAGAACGTGAGCCAAGTGTCTCGCCCTCAACATAATAAACAAAGATCTATACCGAGTCAAAGCTATAAGTATAGTTAACTATGTAAATTGGGAACCACAATAAAGTGTTAAGTGTTTTTCTCAGATTGTTCTTTCGATTTGTTGACTCTTTTGTTGAAACCATGGCTCATACTAAAGCCCTGAGAAAGATCCAGTGCTCTCCAGTTTGGGATGGCACCCAAGACTTTCCATGTCTGGATCTAAGAGTAATATCTGCAGCAACTATAGGGTAACTCAGCTGTAGTAGCCCCAGTGAGGGTCTTCAGTAAGGTAAGGGAGCGTCTACACAAGTGAACCCCCACCCCCATGTGAGGCTACATCTCCGCACAATTCCTCGGAGTCGTTACCATGCGACTTATAGCGAGTAGTTGAGTCAAGGTTAACCCTACAGTGAAGTGAAGTGAGTGTGAGTGAAGTGGGAGGAGGTTATACTATTATAAGTCAGATCAATCCAGTCCATACAACCCCATTCTATCTCTCTAAGTTCCATTTTAATATTATCCACCCACCTATGTCTTGGTCTTCCTAGTGGTCTCTTTCCTTCTACCAGTAATTACAATTAGGCTCAATTGAAAGACGTCTTCAACATAATACAGAAGACCAGAGATAAGTCAGAAGCATTACCTTGGCACCACCTGTACACCAGCAGTGGGAGTGGTTCCGTATCCAAGGGCTTCAACCATGGAGGGAATAATTTTCGCTTGTCTGCTTCACACCACAAATATTGATCCAAAAATGCATCTGTAATCTTTTCCTGTGGCTGAACATCATACACCAGCAACAAATGACTGTAGAAGTCCATGAACTCAATACCAACCTATGAGAAAAAATTTATCTGTTTAAAACATAACAGCTTTCAAAAGTTCTGCTCATTATACCCCATTAGCAGTTATTTGATAATACAATTAGCGCAAAATATATAACAAGGAACATAAATGACTCCAACATAAGATTCAAAACAAAACGGTAAAAAGAAATTAATTCATTTCTAGTGTAATTTGAATTTAAAGTTTTAAGCGATTTAACACAATACCTCTAAGAACGTTCTCTTTGTAAGCAAATGTCTCTTTATTTCTACCAAAGTTTCCAGAGGATGGTCACAGGCTTCTTCAATCAGGAGCAGTTCTTCTTCTTGGCTCTGATTATGCCTGGACTTCACACTGCAAATATAAATCTCAATATAATAAAACATAAAATAGCAACAATGTTATAGGTGCCAGTAGTAGTTACAATTGGCAAACTGAAATACTGAAAAGAAAGGGAAAACTTATCCCCACAGAGGCATAAAAAAACAGGTTTCACTTAATGGGAAGTCGGTGCAATACAACTTTTTGTTTCACTTTATGGCTCATATAAAAGTTGAAACACCAGTTGAGAAATGGGGGATGACGACAATAACTATGTCAATAAAAGGAATACCTGTACTCTTCCCTCAGACTATCCAGTGACAGGAGCAGGAGATCGGTGGCAATCTGGGATGAGAAAGGAGGGAACAGAATAGGTTCAAACCCTCTATAATGAAGCCAATAAAATGTGCTGCTGTACATGGCAACAGCCTCTTCAACCGAGACAAATGGACCATCCTACAAACCCAGAAAAATGTTCTGACACTAAATGAAAAAGGCTAATATTTAATTGTGGTGCACAAAGTTGTACATGAAGCAGCTTTATAACACAAACAACACATTTGAAACGTACATGCAAAGTCCTGCTATACCTCAACTTTGCATTCAGTAATGCCATAGATGCAAGGTCAATTCAAGAACCTGGGATGCAAAATCTCTCTACTTACATGTCCAAATATTACTTCTGACATGGACATCATCACATTCCAGCATATAAACTTTCTTTAAAATTCAGTAAACTGTTTCTAGGGTTGACTGATATCAGATAACTCCTACACAAATTCAATAAATACAAGAACACATCCTCACATACAATGCATTCATGACAGAATTAGTGAAAGAATGTAGGACTCATGCCTTGTAATTCCTTCATTCCTATACAATGTTTAGTGGTCTTAGAGCAATGAAGATAAAATGACCAGAAAGACACATAAAATGTAAGTTGTATTTGCTGCTCAACAAATTCTGTAATGTAATGGCTGCTGCTGGGAGCGTTGAGTTGAAGTACGCTGTAAGAAATATGAAAAATTTTAAGGAAAATGTTAATTCACCATGCTTGTGCTGTGTAAAACTAAAAGATGAATTGCAGAGGGTTGTAGGTGAATTGAAACAGGTGGTGGAAATAGTGAAAATTTTAAAAGAAGATCAAGAGCAATTATCCCGTAGGGTAGACAATATTGGTATACACCTGTTAAAAAGATAAATACAGTGACTAATGCAAGTAGTGATGCATCTCATTCATCAGACTGGAAAATTGTTTCTCGGTATAAAAAAATGCAATGGTGGTAAATCATTTAGCAATTTTAGAGAACCTAAAGGAAGAAGACTTAGCACCTTATTATCATGACATCAAACGAAAACCAAAGGTTAAGCAATTACAGGTTCGATCTGCAACATAGATAGTTTTGATAATTGGTGATATCCATGCAAGAGGTCGTGCTGCAAATTTCTAACATGAGTGCAGCAAATCTTTTGAGGTTATGGGCAATGTGATGCATGGTACTGGACTCCTGAACCTAATACAAGCCAACAACAAGGAAATTAATGGATTAAATTGTAATGATTGTGTCATCGGGGTTGGATCAAACGATATTAATAAAATGAGTCCTCCAAAGGTTTAAAACTTATCACAATTTTGCATTACAGCACCAAGATACTAATATTACACTTGTTCCTGCTCTGCATACACATAATCTGGAAAAGTCTTCTTGTATTAACAATGAAATTCAGATTTTTAATAGAAAATTAGGCAAAATGACTAGCATTATGTTGCAAGTAAAACTGCTTGACCTATCTTTGGATAAAGAAAATTTTACCCATTATGGGATGAATTTGTTATGATCAGATCAGTATAAATGGTTAATATGTTTTTCATTTG